TTTTTACTGCTGGGATGTTATGATGAAAAATATTTGGAGACTGCTGGTTTAGGAAGGTGTCTCCGTAATTGTAGTTAGTGAACCATTAAAGTCCATGAGGGTAACACAAGCGTTCATGAGGCAGGCAGGAGAAAGCCAATATGTCATCCTAAGTTCAAAACTTAATTTTAAGTTATGATTAAGACTTTAACAATTGGGAGGAGAAAATAAACCTTCTCATTTGCAAAATTTTATCCAACATCAGGCCTACCTGCTACAGATGAAAAAAATTGTAACAAAAACTCTATGTTGAAATATACAAATGGCTAGAGGTTTTACAGCCCTCCATATGTACATCTGTCACTCATAAGGCACAGACTATGGTAAAATGGTTGAAAACAATGCGTTCATATGGTGGTCATAAAAGCTTTCGTTGATGAGGCAGTGTTCTGCAGTAAGAAAAAACCTGAAAACCATTGATTTTGGAATTAAATACTTATGTATTCTAAGAGTAGTTCATTCTCTCATATGAGCAAAATACAGCTCATTTAAAACTACACTAGTCACTGTCCAACATGGTAGCCATTCATCACATAGGGATGTCTAAATGAAAATTTCATAAAATTTGGTCGGGCATGGGGGCTCAAGCCTGCAATCCCAGCACTTTGGGAGGACGAGGCGGGTGGATCACACAAGGCCAGGAGTTTGAGACCAGCCTGGCCAACATGGTGAAACCCTGTCTCTACTAAAAATACAAAAATTAGGTGGGCTTGGTGGCGGGTGCCCGTAATCCCAGCTACTCGGGATGCTGAGGCACAAGAATCACTGGAAACCCGGGAGGTGGAAGGTGCAGTGAGCTGAAATAGTACCACTGCACTCCAGCCTGGGTGACAGAGCAAGACTCTGTCTTAAAAAAAAAAAAAAAAAGAAAAGAAAAGAAAAGAAAAAACAATTAATTAAAATTTAAGATATATTTCCTCAGTCACACTCATCACATTTCAAGTGCTCAATAGCCACATGTGGCTAGTGGCTACGGTACTGGACAGCACAGACAAAGAACATTCCCATGAGTGCCAAAAGTTCTATTGGACACTACTGCTCTAGAATAGTATTCAGGGATTCTTTAGTTAAAAGGTTTAAAATCTTTATACTTACTAACTGTTACTTTGTCCTTATCCCCCAACATAATGTTGTTTGGTGTCAGATCTCTATGGACAATCCTCTTCTCCTTGTGTAAGTATCGAAGAGCTAAGCACAGCTTGAAACAATGAATAGAAAACAAATTTTATTTCCCCCAACATACATATAGCCAATGATGACTACTGCACATGTCTTTAAGAAGCCAGCTCAGAATTTTACTGTTTCAAGAAAAATTTAATGAAGATAAAAACATACCTGTATAAATATTTTCCATAGTCTTTCTTCAGTAAAATGGTGATGTTTTTCCTTCAAAGAACTGAAATGCTCTCCAAGCGGGGCTCCTTCTATAAGCTCCATAACTATGTACAACCTATCATCTATATAAATATCACAAAAGGTCATAGAAATTTAAACTCAATACAGATATTTTGAAAAACTTTACAAATGAGAGTTCAAGCTTCCCAATGTCTGTGCGGGACACTAACACTAAAGAATTAGGGATGACGTGTTAAATATGGATCCACTCAGCCCTGGAAGAGGTGGGGAGGGTCTTAGGGAAACGGGGGCCCAGCAACAGTATCTTCTGGCTACAGGCAACCCCTTAGCATAAGTTTACACTGGCAAATATTATCATTTTCTACGTATGCCAGGATGTGGAATGATTGAAAGGTGCCACAGAGAACAAGCAAATGACCTCCAGTCATGGAGGATTCCCTGAAGAACCTGTAAGCCCATCCTTCCTCCCAATAGTCTAAAATTTACCCTCAGATCAAGGCAAGACATTCAGAAAATTGCATTTTCAACAGTATTGGTTCATAGTCTGAAAGATTTACCTTACAGAATTTTACACCGGAATAATGCCATGGTCTTGCAAAGACACAGTTGAAAATAATACACATGATAGGAATTTCTGTTATGCCTTTCAAAAGCAAAAGAAAAAAAAAATGGACTTCTCCTGGTTTTATCTTGTGGATATAGAGAACTTCATGACTGACTGTATTTGTCTTTTTGCTTTGGATGCCAAGAAACAAAGGAGTAAATTCTACTTCCTCCTCTAAAACCAATAGGGTTTACGAACAATGGGATGTGATATGCGTCTTTTGAAACTTTGGCATGTATACAAAACATGTGTGTAGAAAATGTTCACAAAAATGGAATCATACATGTTCTGCAATTTATACTTTTTTTCATTAAGCAGCCTTATATTTCAGGGCACACAGATCCATACCATTCTTTCTGCTGGTTGTATGGTATTGCACAATACGGGGATACCATAACTTATTTAATCATTCTCCTACAGATAGACATTTATATTGTTTCCAATTTTTCATAATTTCAAGGAATATTCATTTATGTACCAATACTACCTCTAGCTTTATTTTTAATTTTCTCATCCTTCATTCTTCTTTATTGCAATTTCCTAATCTGTTATATCATATTTTATATATTTTTAAGCCATTTCCAATTCTTCTTCTTTTTTATTTTTATTTTTTTCTTTTTGAGGCGGAGTCTTGCTCTGTTGCAAAGCTGAAGTGCAGTGGCGAGATCTGGCCCAATGCAACCTCTGCCTCCCCGGTTCAAGCAATTCTCCTGCCTCGGCCTTCCAAGTAGCTGGGATTACAGGCGCTTACCACCACGCCCAGCTATTTTTTGTATTTTTAGTAGAGACGGGGTTTCACCGTATTGGCCAGGCTGGTTTCGAACTCCTGACCTCAAGTGATTCACCCGCTTCAGCCTCCCAAAGTGCTAGGATTATAGGCGTGAGCCACTGTGCCCGGCCGCCATTTCCAGTTCTTTTTGGAAGCTGTCAGGTAGTAAAAAACATTTTTGTTTTTTATATTAAGACAAGTTACGTCACTTCAGTACAAGTCAGAAGCCAACCTTTTTTGAAGGGATATGCACTAAATTATAGAAAATTATTTTAACATCAAGAACAAATGGCTAAGGGGACAGGATTTACTGCACGAGTTTTAGCACTGAGTTTTTCTGAGTCATCTAGAGGAAGGGAGATGGGTAATATCTCCCATCTCCCGGCTGTCCCAAATGCCAATGTACACACACAAAAGGTTTTCTTAAATAGCAATAGCACTGATAGAGAGGCAGTTCGGAAGCCCCAGTCATTGCCTTGTATCTCTTTAAATCATTCTTCAAGTGGAGATTTATTTTGACATTTCATACGTGACACACATCATTAAAGCTTATCAATACTTGTATCATTTCTGTCATGGGTCCTATTTAAAACAAACAAACAAACAAAGTGGCTGAGTTTAGCTTTATCTGTGTTTGGGTTCTAGTTCAGCATTCCATCATACCTGCAGAAAGCAAGCCTGCCTACCTGCAGAATCAGTCTGGGCTCCATCGCCACCTTGTGGCATTTACCTGAACTTCAGGTAAAAGAAATCTCAAAGACCTAGCTCTCTCCAACTTATTTTGGGGATGGAAAATGACACCGGAGTCAACAAAAGCAACTTCCTTTTCTTTTCTTTTCTTAAGGAAACCACCATCCATTAGTTTTCTTTTTTCTTGATCCTATTAAGTAATTTTTTTGTATATGAGAACAGCAATAACTATTTTCATTTGTTCATGTGTTTTTCACACGGAGAGCTAAGTATTTTATAACTATCCAGGTCACTGACTAGGTCACTGTTTCGCTAGTCAAGAAAGTGATGCTTAAGATCATCTACTGTCATATTAACAAAAAAAGGTCAATAAAATAGTTGATAAGGTTTCTTTTGCGACATTCTAATATAAAAATATATGTGACAAAAAATGTTTCCTTATTTAGAAATATCATGAAAACTCATACTTACTTTCCAGAAATGTTTTGTAATAACGTACAACGTTAGGATGATAAAGCTATAAGAAAATAAATAACAAACATGTATTGCACTGCTTCAAAATACAAGTTTTTTCACTGACTACTTAGTTGGACTTCATATTTGAAAACTACAAAGAAATTATATTTATTTACAAAGTTAAGCACTTCAAGATATCATTGAACTGAGATTGTTGTGATTTTTAAAAACTTGTTGCTTATAAACTGATCTGAAAATAGTAATCCTATATAGCTTTATTAAATGAAATTTAAAACGTTCTATCACCTAACTTTACTATCTAACTTAACCAAGAGAACTATAGAGGTAGAAGGAATCTTAAGAATTCCTTTAGCATGCCTTGTCACAACCCCACACACAGACTGTATAAAGGAGAAAAGTGAAATGAGGTAGCTTCTGTTGACTACAAATATTCATTGTTCTTTACCTCTCTCTACCATGTAAATACTTATGTAAAGTTTGTGTCTATTTACACTATTTCTGTCTTTCTATGCTCTCCAAAATGATTAGTAGCAAAATGACATAATCTAAGAGTTAACTCATTTTAAATCACAATAACAGTTGACAAGGACTTCCTACTTAACCAAGCTTTAGTCAGACTCCTCTGAGTCCTCTTCATGACTAGGCCTCATCCTTGGTCTGTCAGTTTTAGCAACTTATATCCTGCTAAGTCAGTTTACGGAAAAATCTCCCACCCTTGACCTCCAATTAAGTTTCCCATCCACTCACCCTTGATATCTAACCAAGTTCCTCTTAGTAAACTTCCGTCCACTGACCCCCTTCACCCTGACCATTGGCTCTGAGTCCTCAGCTGTCCGGTCCTCGAATTCAGAGTTGGGTTCAATCTCTCTCCTCTATTACAACAGTTTGACTTCTATTGCCATAGTATTGAATAACGTCTTCCTCACCATTTTTAAAAAGTGTCTGGTGAAATTTCTCTTTGATATAAGTTAAGAATGTTAGTGGAATTTCTAATGTTTTAATTTTTAAAAGGTCATTTTCTAGAAGAATGCTAATATTTTTGTAGTTTTTGCTTATAATTTGAGTTTCTAGATAAAATTTATCTTAGAACAGTCACCATCACATCAACAAATGGCCTGCTTGCATCTCTTTTTGGTCTTTCTGCAAGTCTTTTTGCAGGAAGATTGCTAGCTGTCCACCAAAAACCTGCTGTCTCATTGCAGTGCAGTTGTAGCTGGACATGGCTTCCCAGTTAGAGAAGACTTCTCAGCCTCCCTTGAAGCTGGGGGTGAGGCTACCACTCAGCTCTGACCTGTGGAATATGAGAGGAAGCATGTGTGCTTCCTGTGTGAACTCTAAACCTTGGGAATAGCCCTCCATGCTCCTCCTCATCCCACTTTGGATGTGAGCATGGCTATGGCAGTTTCAACCACACAGATGAAGACAATGCACTAGGAGGTAACAGTACAAGAAGAGAGAAAAAAGCCTGCATCCCCAAATGATCGCATGGAGCAGAGAACACCTCCAACATGGTTTACTCACTTTGGGATTGTTCTGTGAAAGGGAAATAACCCACTGTACTGTGAGTCCTCTTTTTAAGCACCTGCATTTGGGATCCTCTTTGTTAATCTTAATTTACTCTCCCATTCTAGCCCCATTTGTTTTGCTTCTGCCTGCCACTACCTCCTCCTTTAAGGACTCAATGTTATCATCCTTTCCATCAGTTTGATCCTCTAGCGAGAGAGCAAGTTTGAGTCACCTAAAAGCCCAAGCATAGGCCTCCTATCTAACCCTAGTCTAACAGTTTCTTTTCTTAGGAAACATGCTAAAACAAATAATCTACTTCATCAACTAGCAAGCGGCCAGCAGATCTTAAACAATATGTGACCAGGTAACCAACCAGAACCATATTCTGGACCTGGCTCACCCGTAAGGACTAAAACCATATTTGGGTCCAGATGAAAACACTGGACTGGCTTAGTCCAAAAGCCCTGTTCTAGCCTTTTGCTACAATGAAAGAGCACACTGTGGAAGGCTAGATGACCACACAAACACATGAACAAACTTTTTAAAGTCTGGTCTATGAGTAATAAAATCAACTATAAAATAAACAATTAATGGTAATATTTACTATAATGTATACACTGGAGTAGAACTATCGATTTCTATGAATAAAGGCCTCCATGTTCATGGAATTTGTTACATCCCAACACAGATGCCATGCAAATGTGACTAGTGGAGGACGAAAGCAGCGAAGCTGACAGTGCACCACAGGAATTATAAATGAACAGTATTCATAATGAATGTGCAAACAAGGAGGGCTGAAAAAGAAACCAATGTGTTCTTGGATCACACAAAGAAATCCCATTTCTCTTTGAAATGTTTATTCTTCCTCCTCAAACAAACTTTCATAATGAGAGTTAATTGAGCTGTTACATTATGTCAGAGTGTTCTGCTCATGCCAATAAATAATAACCCATCTTGAAAATCTACACTCTAGATTTGATAAGCCATATTTGAGGAATGTTAACAGCTTGGTTCCATTTGGCAAAAGTCAAGAAACAGTCATATTTCTATGTATGTAACTAAGTAACCAAATATCCTAAAATATAATGAGAAAATAATAGATATGCTCACAATGAAAAGAAAAGGATTTCTCATATATGATGCATTCTGTACTGTAAATCCAATTGTTTTGCATCCATGACCCTGATATAAACTCCAGACAGTGTTTTATGCTTCAGTGTCAAGCCTTAGGGAAAAAGCTGGCAAAAATATCACTGCTTCAATGTCAATTATTTCATGTGGAACTAGTTCATAAGCATCATGGACAAGAGCACCACAACTCTACTTTCTTGCAATGACATGTATTTAAGAAAAACATCTTCAGAAACAAGAAAAACATTTACCTGCTCTTTAATTATTGTTAATTCAGAAACAATATTCCTTACGCTGCTGTCTCGATCTTTCTTATCCTTTCCAAATGCTGGGTTATGTAAATTGACCTCTTTCATCGCTAAAAGATTTTGACCACCACGCTTTCTAACCTAAAATAAAGAACAACAACAACAACAACAAAAAAAAAAGGAACAGGGTAAAGAAGGAGAAGGTAGAAAGGGGAAGAAAGAGATAGGCTAACAAAGTCACGTGAGTAACTAAGTCATATAAATAAGTCACAGAGCATTTAAAGTTCCAGCTGTATTTACATTAAGCTCAGCTCAAAACACTGGTATCCCCTGGGTCAATCTGTAATATTTAGTAGCATTTTACAATTTAGAGATTGCATCATGCATTGGGAGAAGCTTTTTTGAATATTTTTGTGACAGATTAATGATGCCTTTTGTCTTAAAAAGTCAGTGGCCGATTTCTAGAGCTTACAGCTAAAACAATATTAGTGTGGCTATCTCTGTTTGACAAAAACAATCATTCTAATTTTCATATCTATTTGTTTGCTATTTTTCAATGACAAGAGTTCCAATTCAATTGAATATCGGTGTGCAAGTGTGACATGCTGTTTGGTTGGGAGTATCAGAAATGTTCCCCAAGGGGAAAGTCACCTTGTAAACACAGCCAAAAGCTCCACTTCCAAGATGATCCAAAATCGCATAGTTGCCTATATATTTCGAAGGAGCTTTGTTCTGATTAATGCTTTCAATATTTTCAGCAATTTGCTTCAGTTCATCCTCCTAATCAAAATATAAAAAGGAAATGGGTTTCTGTGATAAATTCCATCCTGACTACATAGCAGCCTGCCAAAATATTGAAAACTCAGGACTTACCACTAATAAATTCAACTTGGATACCAATTCTTCATAAGCACTGATATCACGTACATAATGTCCTATGTCAATGAAGATCTCAAACAAGTCTGTGGGGAAAAGTCTACAGAGAAAATTACACACACTTATCGTAGGACTTGGACACTGTTGATCATTACTTCCCTTTTTTTTTTGAGATGGAGTCTTGCTCTGTCGCCCAGGCTGGAGTGCAGTGGCGTGATCTCAGCTCACTGCAAGCT